TTGAGTGGTTTGTGTTTGGGGGTTGAGTGGTTTGTGTTTGGGGATTGAGTGGTTTGTGTTTGGGGGTTGAGTGGTTTGTGTTTGGGGGTGAGTGGTTTGTGTTTGGGGTCCAGTGTAGTGACCATATCACCTTGTTGCCAGGTTGATGACGGTAACAGACTTGCTAAAATTTGTTCACTAAATACAGGCTGTTCGTGACAGGTTGCTGTGAGCATGTTGTCACGAAGTTGTTAAATAACAACTTATTGTTACGTACAGATAATATTAGACTTATTGGAATAACTTATTGCGAGTCTGTTGGCCACATAAGACAACCATATTGCAAGATGATAACAACTTATTTCAAACTTGTCAACGAATGGAAACAAGTTTGTTGCATGTACATGCATCATTGAATTTCCGCACATTTTGAAATTCTGACTTTTTAACACTATTCTGGTCAAAAAATCTAAAATAAGATGATTTTTTGTATATAAAAAGGGCGTGTGAATTAAACAAGTCACATATTATTAGCACTGATGAAGATCCGGGCTTACGGATCGAAAGCTTTGCAGTAATAAATTTACGTGGTGTTTCCACAAACAAAACTATTAGGCCACTCCAAATTAGACTTTATAGTTTCCCGTCCGGCCCTTATTTCAAATTACACGCGGGCGGGCGGTCCATTTCCATTATCCATTATGGTGTCTGAAAGATGAAACACGGCCCATTATTTCATAAAATAGATACTCGTTTTAAATATCCATTCCAGTCACGTTTCTACGCAATGTTTTAGAGTTTTTGTATGCAGAAATGAAAGCCAGGATATTAACCTCATCGGTTTTGACGTTCAAAAATCAAAACTTGTAACAGAAGTATGTAGCTCAGCAGTTCGTAGTGAAAACGGAAAAAAATTCACGCTTTTTGACAAAAGTTTCAAGAATTTTATTTCGATTTTACGTGTTGTATCATAAATATATATGTGTTTCTTGAACGATAGATTATTTGAAAACTGTGTTTTTTCGTAATTGTTTGTCACAAAAGTCAAATAATGGAAACAACTTTGCAATAATGGACAAAGCATGCGGCCAGTTCTTGGAGACGCGGGCGGAGGACGGGAAACTAAAGTCTAATTTGGAGTGGCCTTATATGTTTTATCGCCATGCAAACATACAAAGAACTTATTAAGATGAATTTTGTTCGTAGGCGCAAAAATATGAATGAGTCCTGTCATGTGTATATGTACTCACGACTCACCTTTTAATAAGTTTGATTGCTTTAAAAGCTTCGTCCATATTTCCTATGGCAGATAGGTAACTGAAATTCAACATGGCTTGTTTGGCTTCAGTTGTTCCATCTTCCAGACCAACAAAACCTCGCATAGTTCGTCTTGTTGTGACACGCTGTGACCCAAGAGGAAGAACTGTACCGCCAACTCTCTTCTTTTCTTCCAAAACTTCGCTTCTCTACAAAACCCATATAAAAAAACTTAGCACAGTTAAGGTATGCAGTCTCTGCGGCCTGGATTAAACGTCGCTCTTCTCATGTGCCGAACCTATAGCTGTTCGATAGAATCGATTAGGTGCGACATAGACAATTGCAGCGACAGTTCTCGTCATATTATGAGACTCTGGAGCAACAGCGAGTCAAACATCACTCTTCTCATGCTCCGAACCTAATCCATAAATTAACAACGGTCCAACGTCGCTCTATAGTGTCGTATCGAATTGTATTATAGGTTCGGCGCGCATGAAAAGAATGACTTTTGATCCGGCCCTGAGGGGTCGGCACGAAGCTCTAGGAAGATGTTCTGTGATTGGTTGATTTGAACAGAAAAAATCACGAATCAGTGAGCTTTCCGCCATCTTGGATTTTGGCGGATATGCATGTGACATCATAAGCATTGGTTATTATGAGCCTAAAATCATATACTTCAGTAACTATTTGAAATAAAAAACTGTCTGACGACTTTTCAAACAAGACATAGTGTTATTTTGTCATTTAGATGTAGTTTTATATGGCTAACCCTGCTTATGACGTCACTAAAATCACCGATAATGAGATAAAAATCAATCCAAGATGGCGGACAGCAAATTATTTTAAGTCAAAATATTTCAAGAAATAATAAAGTTACGCAAAATCGCTAAAGGTGATTAACATATCATTTTAAAAATTCTTTAAAATGAAATAATAAAAAAATATATTGCCGTATCCCGTTAAACGAGGCAATTTATATCCAGGGATATTGCGGAGAAAGCCTACAAAGGCTTAATTGAACTTTAATTACTGCTGTCGAATTTGGGACTGTATCAACAGCCAGTTGAGCAGCAAATTACACAGTGTCCTTATAAAAGAGAAAGTTGGTTAACTTGATACCAAGAGCTGTTTTTCAAAATTGAGAGCAATTTCAAATCTGTTCAGTTTTTCTTATACACCCTGTAAGATGTAATTTTGTACTACCTTGTACTACAATACAATACAATACAATACAATACAATACAATACAATACAATACAATATCAAACTTATTACTGTATAATTCATGAGTAAATTAGCCAACCATATTGCATTATTTTGCTCACATGATAATACTGGATACCCGATGAAGTATACATTGATTCAGTCCTAGGACTGGATCAAAATTAATTAAGTAGTGATTTATTCGTATGAGATGTCATTTCAAATCCTCCAATTCGGACTGCACTAAATTTCAAGTCCTCGCGTTTTGACCCAGTCTTCGGCTTCGCCTCGGGTGAAGGTTCAATCTGAGCTTCCCTTGAGTGTCATTGCATGCAGTTTTTGAATAGCTGAAGGTTAGTGTCGTACCTTACTCTCTGACTACTCACCCTGCAGCTATTCAAAAACAGCATTGGCACTCAAGCGAAGTCCTAATTGAACCTCCACTCTTTCCGTGTGAGCGTGCTTTTAGAATACAAGCGTAAGTGTTTATATTTAAAAGTGAACTAACCTTTATTGCGAAATAGAAATACGGAACTTGAACACCCAAAAACCCTAGATAATAAAAAAGCACAGTTTTGCTGTTTATAGAGAATGTTTTCTTTAGCTGCTGTCCAAGCCCGTCTATTAAAAAGTGGCGGTCTGGCGCAGGGATTATATTACTTTTTGTCTACATCATATGAAAATTATCGAGTGGAAATTTATATACATTTATTATAGACCCAAACCAAGAACAACTGCGAAAAATGCAACTACAGGGTGTATAAAAAAAAAAGGTAATCGAACTTCAGCGCACTATTGCATCTGAATTACTCGGCGTATGACCGAGATTTTTTCGTATTCGGAAAGATTAGGCTTTTAGCTGTTGAGTGATATGTTCTTCATTAAACTACGGACATATTCATAATTATTATCAGGTAAGAATAAATCTTAGCTAAGCTACGACAAGTTCGTGATTAATTGCTTTTTCTTTTGTTATGCACTGCTTTAATTAGGCAGAGGTGAAAATATGCGATTCTGACTAACATTTTTTATCGGCCTCGTACATGCTTATTTTTTCTCCACTTGGCATGAAAAACATGTCATTCAATAGCTAAAAGCCTGATCTTTCCGAATATGAAAAAATGTTCATACGCCGAGCAATTCACGTACAATAGCGCACTGAAGCTCGATTACCTTGTATAGGTCCCTGGCAGGAATCGCTGCACCAAAATCGCAGAACCGCAGCTTCGATTCCTGCCATGCAGGGACCTACAGTATAGTTGCATTTTTTGCAGCTGACCCTGGCCAGGTTTTATGAATGTATATAAATGTCCACTTGATAATTTCCATTTATGCAAGACCCTTCAACTAAGATTGAGTTTAGAAGGAGAACACTATCCACCTATAAGGCTCCATCCCCCGTAAAATCTTGATGTCTCTGATATTTCAGACAGCATTTTTCAGAAAAAAATGTAACCCTTTTAAAACAGGTTTTCAATAGCGTGTCGAAATGTTGAAGAATATACAAGGATCAAGTACTTTCTTCTTTTTATAGTTAATTGTTCACATTTGCTAATTTCTTCAAGGGTATATTGTGAACAGTATAATTACGGAGAAAGATTTGAAACTCAATCGATTGAAGATTGCGTTTTTACTACCACACACGACTAGTAGAAAAGTGCTTGTATTAATCCTCACCGGCTAAATGCCTGGTTATAACCCAGCGTATGGAACACTGGAGCTTAATGTGTTAAAAAGACATGAACCGATAGCTTGTACCTGTGTAATTTTCTTCTTCAGGAAACTGATCCAACAAAATGATTCCATTTTCAGGTGTACTGTATAATGTCACAATTACAGCGTCTGGCTAGTAACCACAACATAAAATATGATTTAGGGGCGGACCATTAGAAAGGTAATGGGAGGGAGGTAGAGCTGTGCGCCGATGCTGGAGTAGCGGAGCCGGAGCTCCGGCATATATTGCCGGAGCCGGAGTTGGAAAACTCCGGTAGACAAAATTATGAAAAATTATTTATATTTCAATGAACTTGAGGGCGGCAGCCCTCCCAGTTTGTTGGGCAAACAAAGCCAGTCGGGCAATATTCGCTTCACAGTCGGGCAATATTGGCTTATTATAAAAATAAATGGGACAAATTCTGTCAATTTTGTGGGAAATTCTGTCAATTTTGTGGGAAATATGCTATCTAACAGGAATTTTTCGTAATCACTCAAGTTTGGAAAGTTTCTCCGGAAAGTTTCACCGGAAAATATTTTTTTTGACAACGCGTACACAATCCGAAAAAGTCGGGCAAATTTCTTTCCGCCTCCCCCCCCCCCTAATTTTTTCCTTCCCGTACGCCCATGGCGGCGTGGTTCCCTCGTGAGCAGATTTCGTGAAGATTTAACCTCTCGAGGCCTTGATGAAAAATATCTATGGTGTTTGATATATCTCACCTCGCGAAGAAAAACAACGTTTGCGGATTAGTGCTAAGCTGCTTGAATTAAGTAGCCAATGACAAACCCATATAGTTTCTTCACGTGACTACGCTCAAAATGGCAACAATGCAGGGAAATGGAAACGATCTTATCAACGACTTATCTTGCTGTTGAGTAGTTTTTTCAAGGTATGCTGAGAAAATGCATAACTGAGCTAACCGCCACGCGAGGTGATTAGCTCAGCAAGTTTCTCTTGTGTGCTGCAGCAGGCCTTAAAGCTGGTTTTCGATTCAATGAACGTTGGCGAGCATCGCAGGCGGCTCAGGACCAAATGAAAACCGTCCATCATAACAGACGGCGGTAGTCGCAGACACTCTGCGATAATTAAACGAATGAAAACACGGTTCGCGAGTTTACGCCGACAGTCGTAGAACTTCTACCTCGGTCTCTGTTCTTTTGCACACTTGAAATTCTCGCGAAATCATGAAAATGACGACCAACTACAATAACGAAAAATCGCCTGCCTACGATGCTCGCCGACGATCGCAGAAAAGAAATCGGCGACTGTCGGAGAGTGTCGCTTAGTAATCAAAACCAGCGTTAAGAAAGCCTACAGAACAAATTTTGATAGAAAATTGGTCTAAGAAGTCTGGAACTGCATTTCCGACCTTCCTGGGAAATTCCGCCAGATAGGCTAAATTGAGGGGTCGGATTTCCTGGGGGCACCGGCACATCCCTGTAAAAGAATTACACACAAAGACATTTTAATAAACGTACCAATACTTCGGTATTCTTCGAGTCCTCCTGTACAGTATCAAGTTCCAGTTGGTCCGGTACTGTACCAGGGGCCAACACAGCTTGACAAACTAACAGCTTGGGTTCAGTGGGATCCCAGTACTGTAGGTTAGGATATCTTCCTGCTACATCGAGTGACTGCTCGGTCTTTTCCGTATCTTGGTCATTACGTCCCGTAGTGAAGTCAAATGTCTGCACGAGATCTAGCTCAATATCCCACACAAATAATCTTGGGTCGTTCACACCTTCACCCTAAATTCAAAGATGATAGCTTGCAATTCGCTCCTATTTCAACTATTGGTACAATTCACGGCTGCTTAGAGTCATGCTGTTCCACGGCCTGTCTCAATACAACAATTTGAAGATGTGTATATGCTAATAAATGGATTATTGAATTTTAAATATTAATGAATCACACGCACTGCATATTCAATTAGCCCTTCTCACGAAGGCCAAAATCAGTCATTTTGGGGTACTGGCTGCCCTCGTGAGAGATTACAGACAATAGACCTTATGCATAATGACGTCACAAGGCTTGATGCCCGCGAGGAATGCTGGTTTTAGTAGTCATCGCCCTGGAAAACTTCGATAGTGGCCATTTTGAATTGTTTAATTTTCTTGGACGATGACTACTAAGACCAGCATTCCCGGCGGGCATCAAGCCTTGTGACGTCATTATACATAAGGTCTATTCAAACAACGTGAAAAGCGACTTTTAAAAGTTATAACTGTAAATTTACTATTATACAAATAAAAAATACTAAAAAGTCGCGTTTCGTGGTGTGGCGACTATCAAACTTGGGAGAGGCAGTAACCCCAAAATGGGAGAACAACTTTTCGTTGAAAAAAGTGCCAAAAGACGCCAAATGCGTACTCCGCGAACACAGTAATATGCTGAATTGATTGATTGGTTAGTGTATCAACTGTATGATTGGCATGGCTGTATTAATTTCATCAATCCTGACTGGCTAGAATCACAACCAGGTCAATTTACCAGTGATGTCAATTCTGAAACTGATAGAATTAAAATGCAATCAACCTCTAAAAATCAATGCCTTTTTCAAAATAATCAATGAATTTTCGCAAAAACCTTGTAAACTTTGAAAAGGCCGAAAAGAAACCAAAGGCAAAAAAAATGAAAATAAAAAAGTCAACTTCGGCTTATTTGGCCTCCGGGAGAACTTACATTGTAATGTGTTAGGACTGCGCACGAAAGTTCGTTTGCGTAGTTCATCTGCGGCCGGTTGTATAAAAACGTGGTTTAAATTGCGTTGGCGTTAACTACCGTAGTTACATCCTTAACTGTAGCTGTTAGTTAGAAAGCATTTTTGGGAAGCATTTTTGGGAAGATTAATATACGATTGCTACGAAATATCAGCACAAAATTGTGTTACGAAAGATACCAGAGTGCATAAAAATAAGGCAAAAAATTACTGGCAAACGTTTGCATTCTTCTCAAAATCTGCCTTTTTCAACAGTTCTATATTCTCGTATGTTGAAATATACATAATGTTCATTGTAAAAACGTGAATAGTGAAACAAAAACAAGCTTCAAAACAGTGAAACATAAACAAGAAAACAAGGCAAAAATTAAAGAACAAGACAATTATTCCGTGAGATGTCTACGCTACCCAACAGTGTAGCTGTTTGGCAAATACGACTTACCTCGTCTTAGAGAAATCTTCCTGTGCTAAAAAAAATTTTTCCGCCGAAAAACCCAAGCGATAGCGTTTGTCAGGAAACATTCACAGGGGGCAAGTTGTTCAAAAGTCGGTTAGTTTAACAGTTAACCCTGGGTTAACGTGAAATTGAAAGCATATACTGCCCAGCAGTTTGTTTATAAACCTTTAAAATATTTTTTTCAGAAATCTTGTCTGGATCATCAAAAGTTTAATTTTGTAAAGATTTGAAATGAACAGACGTACAGAAATACATTAACCCATGGTTAGCACTAATCGCGCTTCGAACAACTGACTCAGGGAACACAGCGATCTCAGGTAAGCGTTGCTTCATCTTATTGTCCTATACTGAAAATGTTGTTCACTCCTACCTGAAGCGCCAATTTAGAAGTTAACGATACAAGAGACTACTTTTAACAGCAGTTAACGCTAACTACACTTTTATACAACCGACTTAACTACCTTCTGTGGATTTTAATTTTTTTCCAGTGTATAACTATACAATTCAAAACAGATAGTTAATGGATGATTCTTCTCTGTTAACGCGACAAGCTTATAGTTTGTTTGCATGCACGTCGGACTCGCCCTTCTTTTTCAGGCAGTTTATTGTTAAATGAGTCCCATCTAGTGAACCTACCTTTTCACAAGTGACACAAACTTTACTGCCAGAACAATTTACTTTTGCGGACTTGATTTTTCCAATTCCAGGAACCGCTGTCTCGAAACATTTGATTGGTCCATGTTGTTTGGCCTCTCTGTCAAATAACGTATATTCTGGGTTAGCGTCAGGCTATAGGCGCACGCTGATCGATGTGTGATGCCAGGGCATTAGTATAACGAGCTTTCCTTCACTGCCGACTAAATAAACGCTCTGGGGCCTGTTGTATAAAACCGTAGTTGAAGTTAACTGCAGTTAGCGTTAACTACCGTAGTTAAATCTTAACTGTGGTTAGTTAACTACATGACTTAACTGCGTTGCACAAAACGTCGTTTATAGTCGGATAGTGTGCGCAGGGCGTTTAAAATCAAAGTTACATAAAGCAAGGAGTGATTAACGACCGCTGACAAGTATTGTTAACATGATTGTGGGCTCGCATTTTGCAAATAAACGGGGATTTTATTCAAAACAGTGAAAAATAAACAAGAAAACAAAGCAAAACCCGCCGCAAAAATCACAAAAGAAGGCAATTTTTCCGCGAGATGTCACCGTTAAACCAAACCGTTTTCAGTGTTTGTGTAATGGGCAAAAACATATTCTGTTTTCGCACAAACACCAAAGCGATAGCGTTTGAAGAGTTTTTCATTGTTGTTTTACTGAAAAATGTTGTTCACTCCTATACAAGCGCCATTTTCAACTAAGTTAATTTTTAACTACTTCTTAACTGCAGATAACGCCAACTGTATTTTTATACAGCCGACTTAACTACGTGATTAAAGTTAATCACTATTTAACTACAAAACGGTTAAATCGAGTTCTATAATAATAAGAACCTACAAAACGGTTAAATAGAGTTTTATACCACCTACCTCTGTCAGCACCTTTTAACAGATTAAGGTTACATGAAATCCTAAATGCATGTCGCCTATACAAGATCGCTCATTGACCACCACCTGCTGTACAAATATAGTGCTGAGTGACACCTATCTAACATGCTATAGTACCTCACCTTCTAGAGAGGTCCCACATTTTAACGAAGCCCAAGTTCGTGGCCGAAACCAAGTACGAAGCACAGATATCTATTATGATGGGATCCCCTTCCGATTCATGAAAAGAAAGAACCTGTTTCACAGTTCCCTACAACGAGACCAACATACTGTATAACACTTGCTTACAGAAAACGCGGGGTCCAGTGTAGGTAATGTTCTTCAAAAAGAGCCGTGCATGCATGGCTTGTGTCTGAACTATCTGAAAAGATACCTCAAATATAGGAGGATCCGATGTATTCTACAATAACCCAGGGCTTTCAGAATTACTCTGAGTAGGTGTCTGTTTTTATAGAGTAGGTGGCTGTTGGGAGGGGGCGGTCTAGGGGGTCTTAAAGTTCTCCAAATTAACTAGTGTATGATGATTAGATAGCAACACAACTGAGCTCTGTAACCAAGTTATAATGTATCACCACTTTAATTCTTCAACAAGATAACATTAAGATTTAAGATGGCAAATAACTAAATCATTAGACCAGGTTGATGAAAAATAACTTGAAAGCTAGAGTGGAAAAAGGAGAGCAGAATTGATATTTCAAGTACTAAACAAAGTAACCGGCGGTAAACCTTGTAGCACCTGTCGGAGCTCCGGCGGCCGCCGGCTTATTTTGAAAGCCCTCATAACCTGCCGTGGTTTGTGTCTGAACTACCTGAAAAAGATATCTCAAACGCAGTGGTCCTACACAGGCAGTATTCCACGAAAAGCTCTCGAGGTTTGTGTCTAAACCACCTGAAAAAGATGCCTCAAATATACGAGGATCCGGTGTACAGGTAGTATTCTACAACAGTTGAAGGGTATTATATATTGAAATTATCGAAATTTATATACATTTATTAGACCTAACCATGAACAGTTACGAAAAACTACAGGTCCCTGACAAAAAACGAACCTGCGATTCCGGTGCAGCGCTCTAACCAACTGAGCTAGAGACGTCAGTTGTCGAGCTCTAACAACAAGTTCATGTATATATACTGGGGTACTCGCATGTTAGGTTATGGGTAAATATCGAGATTTTGTTGGCATCTCACTCGATTCCTTCCAGGGACCTGCAGTTGCATGTTTCGCAGCTGTTCCTGGTTAGGTGTAATAAATGTATATAAATTTCCACTCGATAATTTCCATCTACAATATACATCAAAGTACCTAATTATTCAATCGTGTTCGAAGGCGAGATTATTTGAAATCGATTTTTACAAACAAAATCTTAAATAATCTCGCTGAACCTAATTTGAATCACTTATTAATAATTCATGAAGAAAATTCAAAAGAAATGAATGTTTAATCAATGTTTGTAAATCGCATAAAGATTTGTCCTGATTTACATAAACTTCAGGTTTGATTTTCTCGGCTTAGACAATGTCTATTTTTAAAATTACTTCGCCAATGAAGTCATATAAGGTGGGTCGTTTTATAAGCACGATAAAACATGAGCAGTCGATGTTTATCTGATATACAAACTTTCGCCTTCGGCTCGAGTTTTTATATCAGATAAACATCGGCTGAACATGTTTTATCTAGTACTTAAACGTTCGCATTTCTTTGAAATAATTTATCTATTGATGCAAAAAAGCCAATACTTTAATTAAGTTCCTTTAAAAAGCTTATTCGACATCAAGGCTCAATTTGATCCTTAAATCAACGTCAGAAAGGTTAAATGTAACGTTGTGATGCAGTGGTATTTTAGAATAATCTGGCATGGTTTATGTTTGAACAACTTTAAAAAAACGAAACGGAGAATCGACAGAAAAAACGATAAAGCCAGTTTTTTCGGTTTTTAAACACCAGGAACTGGTCCCCAATCGCTGCGAAACTTCGTGTTGTTGTTGTTGTTGTTGTTGTTGTTGTTGTTGTTAGGGGCGACACTCTTCGAAAAAAGCCTGAGGTTTTTTATTGGTTATTTGGTTTATCGATAAACAGCCCCACCCTACATCTGTGTTTGAACAGTTTACCTGAAAATTGCGCACTTGTATTTTGCCAGGCTCCACTGTATACACACTTTGATCATGTCCGACCACAGCAAGAGAATCAGACGCAAATGAACCTATTAAAAATGAAAGATTTCAGATCTTTACACAGTTATAGCGCAGTAGAACATCATTCTGAACATGTAAGTGACAGTTCTGCATTTGACAGCTATAGCTACAGACATTGTTAGACTTTTAAAAAATTTAAAAAAAATGGTTCGTGGCTAGTTTTTTGGCCTAGTGATATTCGTATCATACGTAAAATTGTTGTTTGGACTCGCAATTGATTTGGCACTCAAACGAACTGGATTATTCAACGTGTTTTGTTCTGTTTTGATCGTGACGGTTGCGTGGGGTAGTTCACGCACTCGTCCCGCGTGCTACTGAGGGGTGCCCCGTTTAAACTCTCTAATATAGCCTTCACGACGTTGGGGATGTAGTCGCATTCCTGAATGTTTTGATACGAAAGCACGACATGTTATTTTAGGGCGAGAGGAAGGATCCGCGGTTTTGGTGATACAGGACGCAGATGGTGGTTAACTTCAGAAAGCTTCAAACCAAACACTTATTCAGGTGTTGCACTCACGCGGGAATATTAGATACCTTAACTAGGGATCCAAGGATAGTGCAGAGTTTCAAAGACAAACGCTATAAGGCATGCTTATTAATTGCATAGCTTTTCAAGCGTGGTTTATAGCCTTAATCACATGTCGTAGTAGCGCGCGGAACTGTTACAACAGTAAAAAGGCTAAGATCTGGTTAATATAATACTTTACGGTTGAAGAATAACGAGAGTTACGTAATATTATTTATTTCCCCATATAATATTATAGTGACAAGGCATAATTTCTGTTATAATGTTATAAAGTTTGAAATTGAAAGACACTGCAAGAATTATATAGGATCGCCGACAACCTAGAAAAGCTGATGGGTTACACTACGAAATAAACAGTTACCATAGGCATTTCATCTCATTATCTATTGTTTTTAATGCGTTCGGCACACGAGTAACTCGACGTTTAAAACAAGCCTAATACATCAAGAAACGTCGTGCCTCGTGGAACTGACACAATTTATTGGAGCTGTCGCCGTATGTATCCCCACAAGGCTACTGATATGCTAAACTTATTTAAATCTATGATTATTGCCATCATCGTTTTAGCGCCCATATTGTACATTTGACTATTGT